ATCTATGAATTAGCTTTGCCTTTTGATCAGCCCAGAGGTTGTTTCAGGGTTTAATCTATGAATTAGCTTTGCCTTTTGATCAGCCCAGAGGTTGTGTCAGGGTTTAATCTGTGAATTAGCCWTGCCCTGACTTAGATCAGCTCAGAGGTTGTTTCAGGGTTTGATGAAAATGTATTGTTTTCTAATAACAGAGATTACAGTGTTGATGTCTTACCTGTTACACCATTTAATAGGGAATACCCCTCCAAGGGCTTTAGCACTCATTCCTGGAGGCAGAACCCAAGACATGTGAGGTCCATCGTATGAAGCTTCTCCCATTAGTCGAGCAAATCCTTGGAACTTGCCACTTTCCTTGACTGAGAAAATGACAATCACATTCTTGTAGTGCTGAATGTACAAAAGAATATGATGGTTATCACAAAGGATTTAAGGGTTGTATACCAGTAGTCCACTCACTTATTGCCCCTGGGATCTGAAGGTTTGATTCCTGAGCTCAAAATCCCATGTGAGTTACAGGGATTTTTAGAGGTTCTCAGGTTTTTCTCCATCTGTAAAGTCTAACATCCTAATTCGAATTCCATCTGAGTTAGCCATGCCTTGACTTAGATCAGCCCAGAGGTTGTTTCAGGGTTTGATAAAATTTGAGGTTTCCTTATCTTCAGCTAATGGGTAAGAATGAATGCATGACAGAAAAAATGAACTTAAGCAATGAAATACAACCAGGATCAGGAATTCAGAATTTAAATWAKTGTGTGTTGATTGAACTAACCTTGWAGGCAGCACTTAGTTTCTTCTCATTGGTTCGTGGGGTTGACCACACACCCTAACAAAGCACACAATGATAACATCGTTTAACTGACACACAGGAAACATGTTTACGCTATCACTTCATGGGTAATTCTGATTACTAGGACATTGGTAACATTTTGATCATAACATTACTGCAGTGTATCTGCTATTAACAACGACATATCAACCCCAACATCACTGCCATCAATTTAACATGATTCCACTACTTTGGACATTAGGATCATCAGTCCTTCATCACCATCCCTGGGAATATAATAACTGATATCCATCACCATCGCCATCGCCATAAACACCAACACCTCCATCATTGTCATTGCCGCCATACCATCAAAAACATTATCGCTACAACCTCAAACAACATTTTCRCCTACCTTGGCTTTCGATAGAAGAACATTTTCAGCATTATTGCTCTTCATCACAAAGTATCTTGCATCTTCAAAATACTTGTCAATTTTGTTTCGTCTTTTCTTCTTGGACACTTTTGCTACTTTACTCTTGACATGACCAGACTGCTCATCAGAGGAACCACCATCAGATAGGTGTTCGCCACCRTGAGCTACCGCTGACGACATCTTTCTCTTACGTGAACTCTTGGATTTCCTTTCTTCGCCCCCATTGTCTTCTTCTTCTTCTTCACTGGCACTGACTTCTTCATCATCAGATCCTTTGAAAAATAATTTTAAAGATAGGAATATAATTTGTAARAATATTGAAATTTTTCTTTTACTCTATATCCTCTCCCTCGTTCCCTCTTTACATTCAATCTAAGAATACTTTTAACACCTARAATATGTCTAGAATGTTTATTGTGTTTAACCACAGTGTGATTGTGCCAAAGTTGTTTGTCGTTTAATTAGCCCGTGCTGGGGCCATCTGTTTCAAACTTTATATTTKAGTTTTGTTTTCAAGAAATTTGAGAAACGATCTTAACTCTATCCAAAATATTAAAAATCAATCAGCAACATGATATCTAAACTACTCATGAATCTTTTTATTATACTGTATGCCCACAGGAACATTATTTATTGGTAGACAAGAGAAGATTTCCAGCAAACGTTTTCTTACAAGATTCACAGTTTTCAAGAATCATATCTTCATGGGTTTTTATACTAATTTTAACAAGCTCTTTCCAGCTATGATAATTGTTTTTCAGTTTTACTGTACTAATTTTAAAATACCTGATAAAAGCTCATTGCATGGTTTTTAAAAATCATTTCAGTTTTCGATTGAAGAGTAAAATGCCTCAATGGAACATACCTGACTTTGATGAAGCAGATTCTGAGCCAGATTCTGAGTGACCTTCATCCCCATCATCATCATTATCACTCACTATTTCCTCATCACTTCCACTAACGCTGTGACCACTGTAGTTTTTATCTCCATTCACATCATCAATCACTTGCATGATTTCTTCATTTTGGTCTTCATCTTTGTCATCATCTTCTAGTTCTTCCATTGTTTCAAATTCTTCATCAAGAACCTGTTCATCATTCTCTGTAGAAAATAACAGATTTGAGTGAATTAACAGAGTTTATGATATTTGCAAAATTATGATATTTCCCCTCGATTTTCAGTACTTTTGAATGGAAATATATATGCTTATTAATTATAAGCGTCACAATTATTGATATAATACTTTATCCAGATATGGTAAGAGAGAGGAAGAGGTCAAATAAAGTTTGTTCAAACCTTGTTCCATAGGTTTTTGGGCTTCATCTTCTGTTACATCTTGTTCTATCTCATTGTCCTTCACACTCTCCTCATTGTCATCTTCTTTGTTGTGCTACAGATATGAAAAAGTAACTTCAATATTGTCATTTGTATGATATAACAGTCTTACTTACTGCTAAGTCTCCCAAGCCAGAAACTAAAGTCCAAGGAGTTGAACAGCAGATCAAATTGGAATTTATCAAATTTAAAAGTTTCTTTTTGTGGAAGAAGGACAACAGGAAAACTAAAAAAAACAGGAAAACTAAAAAAAGCAGGAAAAAAAAAACAAACAAAAAAACAAAAACAAAAAACAAAAACAGGAAAAACCTCAAAGGACAAGAGAGATGCTTAATGGAAGGTCAGGTCAAGTGAGTTGAACCCATTAATAGAATTTTTTAAAACCTGTGTGTGTATAATAACCAGCATTTTGTGGGTCAAAAACAAACATCCAAATGGAATAAAAAGGTGAATTAAGAATCAAATGATCTAGATTTTTATAAAATAATTATTCTAATTTACCTCTTGATACTCAGCCTCCATTTGTACAGCTTTCTCTGACTCAGTACTTATTTTTTCTGCATCAGCATTTTCTTCAGTGACTAACAMATCAGAAGTTTCTTTACTGGGACTACCCTTTGATGCACCTTCATYTTTCTTAGAAACAGATTTTGGCTTCTTCTCCTTGTCTTCTGACTTGTGCTTTGYCTCTGATCTCTTGTCAGGGTTTGTTTTATCCTGTACCTTTTTTGTAGYTGGCGATTTAGTGGTTTTAGAAACTGGCTTTGTAGCAGATTTAGGAGTTGTTTTAGAAGTCTTGGTAGAGGAAGACTCAACTGATGTTGGTTTTTTAGCAACTGTAGAACTGCTACTTTTCTTCTCTTTTCCTTTGCTCTCWGTTTCTTTAGTACTTGTTGGATGAACTTCCTTTTTTTTGCTCTTTTCTGGAGCTTTCTTCTCTTTAGGCTTTGCAGACTCCTGTTGCTTGCTAGAGCTTGTAGTCTTTTTGGTTGTTTCTACTTTAGATTCATCAACTTTYCTTTCATTCTCTTTCTTTTTTTCAGTTGGTTTTGATTCTTTAACTTTTGCTGCTGTTTCCTTTACAGTTGCTGATTTTGTTTCGGTTTTTTTCTTTCCTGCAGTAGTTTTAGGTTTTGCAGACGCTGTCTTGGTGCTTTTCACTTTTGTTGCTGATTCTTTTTCCTTAACCTTTTCCTTTGGCTTTTCTTTATCAGCTGATGTTGCATCAGTCTTAGGATTTGTCTTTTGCTTCTCACTAGTTTTAGCAACACTTTCTTTCTCTCTGGCCTTCTCTCTACTTTCTTTTTCCCTCTCTTTCTCTTTCCCATGATGGTGCTCCCGTTCACTTTTCTCCTTCCCATGATCTCTCTCCTTATCAGACTCCTTTTTCTTTTCATTCTCACTGTGTTTAGGAGAACGTGACCCTCTCCCCCTTTCCCCACTATGGACAGTAAGTTTTTTCTCTCTACTTGACCCCTTATCGTTTACCCTTTTAGAGGACCCAGAACTTTTGTGTACAGAAGGACTACCTGGACTCCTCTCCACGGCTTTCCTCTTTGGACTGCTGCTCTTWGATCGTTCTCCATTCTTGTCCTCCTGGGCACTTCGCTTTCTTGTGTTTGCTTTACTTGGTTCTGAGGGAGACTTTTCTGAAGATCTTCTACTTGGAACTATTTATATATACAARTATTGTAAATTCTACTTTTTAACTGCTATATGCATGGGAAGCTTCATAGATGATAGGGCATTGCTGGTGTTCAGTCACTCCCAAGAGAATGAAATAACAAAAGACATGGAGGCCATGTTGGATGATATAACAAAAGAGACTAATGATGAATCTTTTGTTAAGTTCATCCAACATGGCGGCTGTGAAAACCATCAGCAGAGGTAATTGTTTGTCCTTTACTGAACGCTGGTAATGAGATAATGAGAGTTATGACATTCATTTACCTAACTGATACAATTAAATATTTGAAAAACTTWTACCTTTTGAGGCTTTGTCCAATTCAGCTGCAAATTCATCATGAGTTGTCTCCCCCAAGATGTCATCTAAAACATTCAACTCCACATCTTCCCCTATAACAAAACAAAGGAAAATTATATGGTTAAATAACACCTAGACAAATCACAAGTACACTTAGAAATACATTAGTATTACAGTAGATATTTATGTTAAATATGTTTTTCAAACAATTTGTTATTTATTTCTTCATCGTTGGAATCTTCAAGCAACCATTATTGTTTCTATTAGTAACAATGAACCGTAGGAACAATCTATTAGTTACAGTATTTAAGGTAATAATCCATTTTATCTGGGGTTTTAATAAACCCTAGATATTCAAATTAATATATTTTTGACGACATGCAAACCGGTCTTCTGCCATATATTTTTATACAACTTTAAACAAAATACCTTCTAGCAAAATAAGAAACACTAAAATTCGAATGAAATATGCCCAATGGATCATTGAATTTAGAACTTGAAATGATTAAAAATTATATAAAAGGATTTGAAAGATTCTTGGAAAACGAAAGATGGCGTCGAGCAAAGTTGTCGTTTGGCCACCGACACAAGAAGATAACSAGTTCAKTAACAATAAAACRACACTTCACCACTAAWTTAGTCAAACTCCTCTYACTSTTRGCATAAATAYTGGTATTATAACCTTTAAATAACARTTAAAATRATTTAGAACACAATCGTAGGAAAAAACGACATCACAAAATCAAAAATTTCATTCACCGCCAACAACTTACTCGCTTCAATCTCATCCGGAGACGACAATTCTCCTTCTTCTGCAGCTTTAGACATCGTTATAGTCTTGCTTTGAAGTCTAGAGCCGTTTTTCTTGTAATTTGAAGCGAGGAATGGCGAAATACAGCAAGTTTTTTTGGAAGCTTTTTCTTGTTCTCTGAAAACAAGAAAGCACGCCAAATGATGATATATTATGGGATATCTACACCCATACGTCATGGTGACCCTATGTACACAGGTAACCCAAACCCTCATTATAAGAATAGCAAAAAATTCCATTAAAAAGTTGATAAAAATTTTCATATTTTAAAGCTTGTTAATACTTATTATCTGTCCTGTAGCATGTTTRTAACATATGAGAAAAGAAAATGAAACAATCTGAAAATTGAATATTAAATAAATCTACAAAGTACTTAAAAAAATAAAGAAAAAATCCCACCCAATTTTAACCATTTGTTTATGTGTATCGAAAGCAGATGTAAGCTCATGATTTGATTTAAATATGAATTATTTTTTCAAAAAAGTTTGATTTTAGTTTTTTTGTTGTGTTGTTTTTACTTTCTTTCACGCAGCTCGCTAGGATTCATGGGTACATTTTAAAATGGCGACGTTCAGAATTTGACACAAAAATACTGCGTGGTAGCCGAATAACTTTTACCCTTCTTGTCCCTTTTTGTTGCCCAAGAACCCTTAAAAATGGCCAGCAAGTATAAATGTGAACATTATATAAGACGCTGCGCCTTACTGGTAAGTCCTGGTCACTCTCACGTTTGAGAAAAAAATCTCACTCACTGTCCATGGACGGACCCACATCATATGCATGACAACTTCGTAATCTAATGGTATTTTTATCCGGTATTTCTGTAGATTTGTTTCTATTTTCCTTATTGATAGTATTCTGGTCATCAAGATTAATAGTTTGTAATTTCTAAATATAGAAGTGCTTATCTTTTGAGTATTTTTTAAAAAGTACAAATAAGCCTATATATTCAGTATAAATCATATTTTGACTTACCTATAAGACTCAKAATTTGCTTTATATAATATATTATATTCTTCAGACACCCTGCTGCGATAATAAAGTGTATCCTTGTAGAGTCTGTCATGATGAGGAGAATGAGGATCACAAACTCGACAGGCAATCTGTCAAGACTATCAAGTGCTTGCAGTGTGGGAAAGAACAAGAAGTGAGTAGACATTACACCCCAGGGAAGGATCGATCCAGGGGTGATAAGAGGGGTGACAAGTTACCCCCTTTTCCTTTAAATTTCTCAGTATATCGTTAGTAACAGTGACACCCCCCTTTTCCCCAAATTCCTGGTAAATCCTTTGTAATAGTCACATCCTTCTAAATTTCCTGGATCTGCTCTTGTATTATACCCACCATGTTCATTGACTTGAACATTATATTTTTCTTTTTGAACAAGATTATTTTATGTCAATCAACATGGCTACAGTGTTAATTTTTTTCCTTGTAACCTCCACATGTTTTGCTAATATTCACTACAAAACTAAATTCTAATTTAATCTGCGAGTTGGCAGTGCCCTGACTTAGATAAGCCTAGAGGTTGTTTCAGGGTTTGATCTGTGGGTTAGCTGTGCCCTGACTTAGATCAGCCAAGAGGTCGTTTCAGGTTTTGATCTGTGGTATAGCTGCGCTCTGACTAAGATCATTCCTTTGATCATTTACTTATTCTAAAATTCTTTTCTCACTCAATTAGGTTTCAAATAGCTGTGTAGACTGTGGCATACACTTTGGTCTATACACTTGCCTGAAGTGTAGACTATTTGATGACAATAAAAAAGGCCAGTTTCATTGTGACGAATGTGGTATTTGCAGGTATTGTATAATATTATATAAAAAATCTATTTTCATAAACTTGGACCAGACATTTTTCATGGTTTGCATTGATATACGCATTGAGACCACAGTCGCAACATGGAAATCGGGCAATACACTTCAATCAATCACAGTGTGTATGTCAAGGTACATACTTTTTGTTTTATTGATAGTAGTCTAGATTTCCTGTCCYGACTGCTGTTTCTTTCAGTGAAAACAGTGGACCAGCCTCCTATAAATGTTTTTCTTGGTTCATATGAAGAATAAATTAAATGAAGTACAAAAAGCATCTTCCTGAAACTTGGCCCAAATAAGTCGAAATTTTCTCTGTGGGGATCTCAGGGGAATTCAAATTCCAAAGGAATCCTGGTTGGGCAGGGAGGTACCTGGGGGGCAGGTGGTTAGATGCACTATTAGATGCACATCAAAATACAAGACAGTATTTACAAATTTATGAACTATTTTTTCTTGTTATATTTTGTTCATTACAGAGTTGGTGGGAGAGAAAACTTCTATCACTGTCCAAAATGTGACATCTGTCTGCCAGTGACCATGAAAGATAGCAACCACAAGGTTGGGAAAAAAATTTGTAACTCAGCTTTCTGTGAAGATGTTTTTAGGGTTGTCAAACAACTCTAATCTGCATTAGAACCTCTACTTAGAAGGCTACTTGTAGCTTTCCACATTTGAATTCCGTGTAATGAATTTGTTTTTCATACATAAGTTTCTTAATGACCCTTCTTGAAATTGTCTTGAATGCAAGGCTAACTTACTTGGAAATATGAAAGAAATCATGCGTTTTCTCRATGGAATTAGTGGCATTTCTTTTGTATTTCCATATTAGCCTCCCATTCAAGACAATTTTAAGAAGGGTGCATTATTACAATGAAGGCCCAGGGTGAGATTTGCTATTCGCTAAATCTGGTGTATTTTATAAATACTTTTTAAACCTTYTTAAATAAAGTTATTATACACTTATTGTTATACTATTATTCTTTTCGTTCACAAGAGTTAAATGATTCTATGACCATTGCATGCTYGTTTGTTTCAGTGCATAGAAAAAGGTGCAAGAAATGATTGTCCAATATGTATGGAGGTAGGTGTAGATGCAACAAGTCTTGTTGTGGGATATATTCGACCTTTTTACTGATGATGATTGATTGTGGTGATGATGATGACAGTGATGGTGATGGTGGATGTGATGGTGATAATGACGGTAATGGAGATTGTGATGTTGATGATGACAGTGATTGAGGCTGTGATGTTGATGATGACAGTGATGGTGGTTGTGATGATGATGATGATGGTGGTGGTAGTGATGATACTGATGAAAATGATAGTAATGATGGTGCTGGTTTTGGTGATGATACCGATGATGATGATGATGGTGGTGGTGAGTGATGATAATGATGAAAATGATAGTAATGATGTTGGTGGTGGTTTTGGTGATGATACTGATGATGATGATGATGGTGGTGGTAGTGATGATAATGATGAAAATGATAGTAATGATGGTGGTGGTTTTGGTGATGATACCAATGATGATGGTGGTGGTAAGTGATAATAATAATGATTCATGATTGATCAGGATAATGCTGCCTATGATGATAACAGTACTACAAATTATAAATGATGATACTGATAACACACTGAAGATAAGACTAATGATATCTTCTTCTTTTACAGGATATCCACACTTCTAGAATACGTTGTCAAGTTGCCCCATGTGGGCATCTCATACATACGTAAGTATCAAGTGTTTATAGCAATAACCATGCACACATACTTCGTAATTTTACATTGTAATGGTTTCCTACTTTAGAGTATCATTTCTTTGTTTAATGGTTAATCAGGAGAGCAGGGCTTAAAATAAGTGCTGGCATCAGGTGATGTCTGGTCAAACCTGGCACTTGTTTAGTCAAATCTTGTTTTGCTGGTCATTTTGACCAGTAATGTTTAGGCAGAAATAAGGTATTACTAAGCTAAAACTAATTTGGCCTGTGACCATGAGCGACAACTGATGGGCTATTATGTTTAGCCCTGGAGAAGATGAATGAATACATCAAATAAAACAAAGAATCATATTCGCAAGAGAATGACACATTGTCTAAAATGGGAAAACATTACGCCCAAGCCAAAAGAGTCTATCATTAAATATCCTTTTACTGTTTTAGGACTTGTATGTCTGATCTCCTTAACTCAGGGTATGTATAATTAATAATTTATGTAYATTTTGAAGTCTAGTCTACCATATTCAACACCCCTTTCTCATCCTGACAATAATGGTTTTTAGTAAAAATACACAGGTGATTATTGAAAATCTCGCGCACTGATTGGTCGAGAAACTCACAC